CTATGGTTTGCCGGAATGGCGCGAAGACATCAAGGTCAGTTTATCTACTAAATAGCATCGTATTAGTTTGTGCTGCACTTTCGCCATACTTTAGAGGAACATTTGCTTCCGTCGTTTTGGACACTCAGTTTAGTAGTAGCAGGGCACCATGGGTAAGAAAATTTGGTTATGAATTTGGTATCCATCCGAGAAAATTTGGTTATGACGTAGCGTAAGAACGCCGATCGTCTGTACACCCATTACATGTAAGCCGATGTCGAGTGTCACATTACATCTTGCACAATTATTGACACTAGCCTGTCAGTTATGTAAGCCATCCGTATGAGGATGAATTGACAACTGTAAAACTCCGCTGACAATTATCACATGGCCATCTCGCGGGCGCAGATGAAAGACCAGTCGGTTTGCCCCTACATATAAGCTGATATAATATGTCACACTTACCAACATAAAAATGAAACCACGCTTTCACAGGGCAGGGCTTGCCAGTTGGCTGCAAGTAGTTTAAAGCTATATGAGCAAGCCAAATTAAGGTTAATTGACAGCTGTCAAAATGGGACATGTGCAGACCACTATCAGAAAACTAATAAAGCGGGCTCATAATTTAGGATTAAAACAGAAGATTGTCGATACGGTTACACTAAAGTGGTTACACATTCAAAATACTAGCTCACGCACGTAGAACGTGCCTATGTTTTTATTGATTGTTAGTAGTCTCTCTCGCAATTTTAATCGCTGCGCCGTTTGTTTTCAGTCGTACATAAACATCGCATGTAGGAGTACTCAAAATGCCGCGCGTAAAGATCAAACGCTTTTAAACAAAGCCACAAATAAAGGGAAATAAAACCTAAACATAATAAATTATCTATCATGTTGAAGCGTAACTCCATTGATGTTCATGACAGCCGGCACTGAAAATTTGGTGCTTGTCAAAAGTGAGAACACGTCCGGCTGACCGTATAGGTGATTTTGGGATTTTTTTTATCGTTTTTACTAAAAGCCCATACTCATTACCCTACATATGACATAGGAGCATATTTTTCTGACTGAACAGTCGCTGCATTATGGAATTCTCCTCATGAAAACGTTTTATAACATGGTCTTTCCCATAATTTGTTGTGCTAAGGAGGTGCGTCCTTCGATCGTCCTGGACTGATTGAATGAGTGCAATTTGTCTTGCAAAATTGCGAAAAACTGCAGAATTATAAGTTTAAATACGGCAAAAAAATAAATTCTGTCCGAGGTCTTTATGTTAAGAGAAAACAGCGCCTCATAGTAGTTTACCTCAGACGTGATGTATAGAAAGTATATTTAAAAGGCTGGTTAACACGCCACCAGATTTGTCGACAAGATTTACTTGTAAAGTAAACTTGTCTAGGTTGATTCTCAATTTCCATGGGAGAGACAAAGGAAATTGAGAACCAACCTACATTAGGTGAAGTCAAGATTAATCTGAAGTCAGATTTGACCTGTAACATATAAACCGAAAAAAACCTTATTCCTACCTGTGTTGTGATTTTTCTAGACCTTATTGAAGAGTGCAGGATGCCAAATGAAGCCGACTGTATTTTTGTTAACGGACACCCAAATAAAAGAGGAATCCTTCTTAGAAGATGTCGATAGCTTACTGAATACTGGCGAAGTACCCAATTTATTTGCAGTGGACGAAAAGGCTGAACTCAACGAGGTACTGAAACTCTTTTAATCGCTTTAAGGAAAAGATTTAAAGATTTTCACAGAATAAGAATCAATTTTTAGAATACAGAATTCAAGAAAAGAGAAATAATACCAAGTGTAAAATTGAACTGGATTACTTTTGGGGTAAACGTGGTCTCCGGCAGCAGAACCTCGACTATTGATCATTAATCAAAAGCAGTTTTTACTTTTCTTGTATTTTTTCAAGTCGTTTTTTGGAACAGGTGAAACAAATGCTTCTTCTACCGTAACTACCTTGAACAACATCTACAGCTATATTTATCCATGGTATTCCAATTAAGATCTTGAACCAGTTTTCAGGCCAAAAATACTGTTCAAAGTTCTTTTCCTGAAAATTTGGTATAGATTTAATTCGAGATTATTAGTAAATTGTCCCTTTTGATCGTCTAGTTATTGTCGCTCAGAGGAAAGTTGTTGACTGTATTTTTTTTCTAAACAAGTTAAGTGCTATGGTTAACGGTTAGAGTGCTTTACAGCTTGTATTGCTATTGTATTTTCAGAGCGTTCGTCCAGCAGCCCAAGCGCAAGCTGAAGACAAGAATGCGGAATTTTCTCCGCTGGCGCTTTTTAATTTCTTTGTTAACTGCTGCAAAGAAAACCTTCACATTATGCTGTGTATGAGTCCTATTGGGGACGCGTTCAGAAACAGACTCAGGCAGTTTCCAGCACTCATAAATTGCTGCACTATTGACTGGTTTCAGGTAACACTGACCTTCATCTAGTCATAATACCTCGGGCCATTTCCCCGAATATATTTTAGATTTTATCCTATAGTGCAAAGTGTACTTGGATAAGGTTAACGAGAATTAGTGAAGACGACTTTGAAAGTTAGATCAGAACGGCAAGAGCCTGTTTCGTCTGAACTGTTTTGCTTTCTTCATATCACTTTACTTCGTTGTTTCAACGCATTCAGGCGTCTCTCCTTACACCTGTACTTGAGATCAATTGCATAGCAATCTTTTATTTTCGTCCCGAACGAGGGTGAAGATGATGATGATGACAATTATTATTATTAGTAGTATTACAAGTGATACCGGTAAAAGTAAATTATAATTATTTTACACCATATAAAGCTCCGAGTTTAAGCCTTGAAATAACTTGATCAAAAAGGATTAGCTTAGATTCTTAAGTAGCGTCAGAATGCTGCTTAATACAATATTTTGGTGCTAGGAAATTTTGGTGTATTTTCGCTCTTGCTATCTTGAAAACTAACCCGTGTTCTCACCACCTGTATAAGTGCAACGTCATTCAAAATTTGGACTTTAGCGCTTTTTTGTATATCTCTGAAACGACTCGAACGAATTTTTCTAAAATCTTCTTCACATAATCTTCATAATGTATACAAGAAGGTCTGAAACTTTCAACCAAAACCACATATATGCCATTTGTTTTTAACCCTATAACGAAATCTTGTCACAGCCACCCAAAAACTTAACTCTGAAAAAGTCACGTGACTGATGATGTCATCACTCTAAATGTAGCACGGGAAGATATTTTATGGCAAATGTTATGTTGCTGTGGTCTGACATTCTTCTACGTATAGAATTGGGAAAGTTATAAAGCTTTGAAAAAGAATTGCCTCAAAGGATTCTGGGATAATTTTCATGATAATTATAATTTACTTTTATCATTATAATTATTGCTGCGGAGCGACCGTAGGGAGCGAGTAGCAACATAATCAGGATTTAAGGGAAATATATAAGGGGCGACGAATTCTCGAATTCATCACTTTTTACCACAATGCATTGCATTTAACCAGAGTGCATTGCGCCACGAACAACTCAGAAACACGGGGAAGTTCGCATCGTTCGCTGCCCAGACTCAGAGTTTTCTTTGTAGCAAATTTTCTACAGCACGGTTAGAGGTCGTACCAAATTTAAGACACGCAGGAGTCTTTCAGATGAGTACGATGGTTAACTTGGGGATTGGATTTCAATTCAAGAGCCTTTGACTCGTCCAGGTGTTAAACCTGACGAGAAGATGAGTATTTGCTCTTCGACTCCGCAACACGGGGGATATACAAATTCCAGCTTGCTAGCAGGTGATGTGAAAGTGAGAAAATGTCATGCCATGCTATTCTTAAGAACCTGTATGAGCCGAAAATGGATGTGATTTTGACCATTCGCTTCAAAATAACAGCGGAAATCGAGATAACAAAACATATGTTTTGTGTCCTACGTTGCAGACGAGGACGTGTATCGGCGTTTTGAAAAGCATAATTATGTTCTTTCATTCATTCATTGCCATGGAATATGCATTCACATTGTTTTTTTACTGTTAATAGCTCGATTAATGCGGCTGGCGATCATCTTGTGGGCGGAAGTTTAATGGAAAAGGCATTAAATTAAAGACTTTTATATTCTAATTCGCTACCCCGCTCAAACGAATATAAAACATTTATCATGTAACAAGCAACCTCAATTGGGGTGTGTCAACACGAGCCGTGTGCGACCCTCTTTATTATGCCTTCATCAACAGAATGGGTGGAAATAATACAACAAACAGAATGAAAACTCGGAAATGTAAAAAATTACAGCAAGAAAAACAACCCTACAAAATGATCTAAACTATGCTCGTATAACAATGATTCAGTAAATATACAAAACGTGCTCAACCTTTCATATTGGAGCATGCAAAAAACTACGTCTAAGAGAAACCCCTGGTCACTGGGTATTAAATTTTGAGGGCGTAGGGACGGTCGTAAGACGCGAGTGAATATAAATGAGAACAACTCAAATATATATAGCCTACCGCTAATGAAGCAACAGAACAGCATACCACGTAACACCCCAAAGAAAAGGTTACATAACCCATGATAAATACATTTATATTCTAATTCGCTACCCCGCTCAAACGAATATAAAACATTTATCATGTAACAAGCAACCTCAATTGGGGTGTGTCAACACGAGCCGTGTGCGAACTAAAAGAACGGGAAATACGGAAAATTAAATACCCAGTGATAACGAAACCGACAACAATGAATGAACATTATCCTTAATGTAACCGTCTTTTGCCTTATCTGATTTCCAACGGCCGTGTCTTTTAAACAATCTGTCAGGCACTCGAGCATTAGCAGCAGCGGAGGCACCTCCAGCCCTAAGGCTATGGAGACCGTAGTCTTGCTTGGGAATGCCGATGGAATCGAAAGCGCTAAGCACTATCTCCCGTGCTCTAGTATAAGACAAAGGAGCAGACCCGCCCAATTTATAAGCTCCGGTACCGCGAAGGAAAACAAGAGGGCGAAAAATGAACTCTTCGCTGTCTGCTGAAAAAGAAGCGGCCACAAAATATCGTTGAACTAATAAATAAGGACATGTATGCTTGAAAGTTTTAGCGATAACAACCCAAGCCCCATCCCTGTAAACGTCAGTCTTACTTCGATGAACAAAGATTCTCATAAAAGAATCTTCAAACTGAAAATCACACCTGCGTAACTCAACCAACTCGTTAAAGCGAAAAAACCCTGCATAACCTAAAACACACAAAGTGAGCACTCGTAAATCAGACAAACTAGCTGAAGATGATCCATACTTAGCAAATAAAAGCTGAATAGCCTCGGGGGTCACAGGCTCTTTCTTTTTAACAGGGATACTGAGAAGCCTCTTAGCAGATTCTATTAAAGGTAAAACTAACGAGGAATTACAGGGGTCGGGTAGACCTGCCAAATCATGCACCCACTTGAGCCCATAATGGACTTCGTCAATAGTAGTACAAGAAGCAGATTCTTGAATCAAGCTAAGAAAAAACAATGAAACGTGTACACTAGAAGCGGGAAATATAACAATTTCTTTAAACTGAGAAGCCCATTTTCTCCACTTATTGAAGCCCTTTTCGTACTTCCTCGCGGTACTGTCGGCTTTGGATTTAAGAAGAACTGCGGGGAGATCTTGAACCAATGCCCGGAGTCGCCCGTCTTCAACCTGTTGAAAATTAGGCTGCAAGGCATCTTTGAGAACTTCTACGAGGATAAGAACAAAAATACATGGCAAAATTCCTCAATGCGCGCACTGGGAGTCAATACAGCAATAAAAAATGGACGCTTGGTAGTGCCGCTGACCGGATGCAAAACTATTTAAGGCCATATGTGCCAACTCAAAAACGACGGTAAACAAGCCACTCGGCGAGCTAGTGTCATGCGAAACGAGAGCAAACGAACTGACGAGTGGAATAAAGAACACGTGGGCCAACACAAAGCCACTCGGCCTGAAAAAACTAAGGCCCCTGAGCGCCAATTCTGACTGGCAGGACCGCGCTGTTAAACCTGTCTGAACCAATGAGTGAATCTTTGTAACACTCGAGGGCAAAAATCCCTGAGGGGTCGGGAAAATGAATGTACTCAAGGACGTACGGTTGGAATTGAATTGCATTTGCGAACAAGAAAGGCCAAAACACGTTAGACGGCCAATAAGGGAAGACTAAAGTACCAACCGCACCGCATACAAGGAGATGCTGAACCGCCCGAGTAATGCAGTGGACGGGAGGGACTAGCCAATTATTCTCTCCATTCCACGAGATTGAAAATGCGTCAACAGCTTCAGTGCCGGGTACGCGAAACCTAGAATTGAATCTGGGAAGATGGGCAAACCTGTCGACTGTATGTGGGCCCCAAAGGCGGTCCAAGTGTGCGAAGAACTCGGGGGTTGTATACCAGTCATCGAAGTCTACAATGTGGCTAATCGCATCAGCACAAGCATTAAGTTCCCTGGGAACCCCCTTGGGGAATAAGTGTAATATTGTAAGTTCGACAAAAGTAGAAAATATCAAGCGCAATAGAATGCAATTCTGCATTAGGACTCCCTATCTCCACGACACGAACGGCCCCTTGGCTGTCAGAATGCCACTTTACACACTTTCCCCGAACCGAGGCTTTGAATGCACTTAAGGCAAATTCTATAGCCTTAAGCTCTCTCCAGGTAGAGCTCTTAGCTGCTTCGCAAGGAGTCCACGTACGATGGGACACCTCATTAGTGCCCACAACAAAAGCCCCGCAGGCGACGTTGCTAGCGTCCGAATAGCTAAACAAAAGGGGAGCATTATAAGGCAAAATAGGTCTCATATTAAGACTAACGATATTGTTTTTCCAGAAAAATATTTCAGAGAGGCAATCATTATGAAGCCCGATATTAAAACGGGAATCCCATCTACGGCGGGATGCTATGATCTTGTAAAGAAAAGGGGTTTTGAGACGAGTCAGGTTACCCAAAACTGGCGACATGGACATAACATGACCTGCGATAACGGCACAATCCCGAGCCGTAACATAAGGTGCGGATAGAAGAAATTTGTCAATCAGAGCGATAAATTTGCAAATACGTCTATCGGTAATAGAAATGGTACCGGTAACTAAGTCCCAGTTTAAACCCAACCAAACAAGCACCTGAGTGGGGTTCCATAGTGATTTGGCGGAGCTGGCAACAAACCCCGCAGAGTCTCTTTCCCTGAAATACTCCAAATAGGAAGGATACATGTCTTATAAATTGAGTAAAGCTAATATCTAACCTTGGAGAACAAGTGTTCAATTCTGTGGACCTATTTACCTCCAATGCCCGAAAGACCAGAAGAACTAGGAAAGGACGGCCCCGAGTTTGAAGATCTGGCTTGAGGATTAACATGACACTGAGACCTCCAATGACCTTGCTGGCCGCAGGCGAAACAAATATCACTTGGTCTTGGTTTGCTGAAAGCGCCAAAAGTACGAGAAATAGGTCTGGAGGATGATGAATGTTGGCCAGCAAACGCGGTGGTTGCGGTAGATGATTGGAGTTGTGAATAACCTTGCTTGGATGGCTTCGCTTTCTGTTGGCGTTGGTTGCGTTTACGAAGGGCCCTCTGCTCGGCACGGCGGATACGCTTTTCGTCCTGTGACCCGCTAGCCAGCTCGTCAGATAAATACTCGTTCACCAAATCCCAACCGGCGGCGGACTTGTCTGCCAGTCTGATAAGCTTGTTGCGCTTCTTGATGTCAGAGTCTAGTTCTTCCAGGTGAGTTTTAACAAGGTCTAACTTTCTCTTCCCGAGAGCAACTGACGCCGACTTCATTTTCTCTGCGAGGTCGGAGTTAAATTGAAACTGTTTCTTATTACCTTCGAATCTAAACGTGTTCTTGGATTCTTCTTTGAGCTTTTCGGCCACAGAATCGGTATTACTGCACGACTCGTCTTGAATATCGCGCTTCAAGGCGCCCAACTTCTTATCGAAATAATCCTTAAATAGAGAGAACACGGACGCTATATCACTGGGTTCTGAAGACCAGATTGGTACTGAAGCTTCGAGAGATTGAGACAAAGGTTGTTTAGGAAGGGAAGGCAGCAAAACGTCGCTGCTAGGAAAATCTGTGTTCGCTGGAGTAACGTCTTCAACATCAGACTTAATTTTGAGGGCGTAGGGACGGTCGTAAGACGCGAGTGAATATAAATGAGAACAACTCAAATATATATAGTCTACCGCTAATGAAGCAACAGAACAGCATACCATGTAACACCCCAAAGAAAAGGTTACATAACCCATGATAAATACATTTCCCACAAATTAGGTAATTAGTCTCCTTGGTGTAGTGGTTAGGAGCAGTCGCGTTGAGCCGATGATGCCGGGTTCGAGTCCTACCGAACTCTTTTTTTCCTTCTTTCTTTCTTTCTTTTTTTTCCGTTTTTTGTGTTGTTGTTTTCTATAAATATATAGCTAAATAACTGTTACTTAATAAAGTGTAATAAACAGCAAGAAATGTATCGTGTTTCCAGAGAAAAGATAGACTCCGTATATTAAATATATGGATAAACAATCTGAATTTCTATCATTTCCTACAATTTACTGTGGGAAAACCAGAGTTGATAACCACTTGATCATTTTCTAAACAACATTCCCACGAGTTCTTTCTATAGACTGATAGTAATTATTCTAGCACTTTTCAACATGTAAATAGGACATTCAATGTCATTTTCGATTCTTTTAAGTCTCACTGCCTAACTAATGCCAGTATCAACAGAATGTGCCGCAGCATTACTATCTTTTAGATACCCTAGTTATTATTAGTAATGGTAACAGGACTGAGTGGAGTCCAATTCGGTCTGTAATCATACGAGTGGTTAAAAAAATCGGACGACCGGGAGTCCGATTTGTTTAATCACGGGTATGATTACAGAACGAATACCAGAAATTTCAAATATCAGTAAAATTTGCTTCGGAAAGTCGGGTCCTTTGAAGCGCTAATTTCGCAAACATTTTTACCATCAATGCAATCAGAATATTTCATATTGTTGCCGAATGATAATTGTAATTCTTTGCAAAGTTTCGGTGCTATCGCACTAAAAACGAAAACGTTATGACGAAAAGTTCGTCATAGCTACATGCGCCTGTATTAATGACGGAGCCACCTTAAGCGATCGTCATCCGCGATTTGTCTTTAAGCCATAGCTCTATAGCCTGAATTAACGTTCTAAGAGCGTCTTGATGTTGTTACAGTGCAACTTTCCAGCCTCATGACTTAAACCTTCTTCCCCCATACTGTTCCCAGTAAGCGATATAGTTGTTTGTTTGATTTTAATCACTAATTTTGCATTGTTTGTGTTAAGCCTTGGCCTGAAGATGCTCTTGAGATGGTTGCTAACAAGTTCCTTCAAGATGTGGAAATGACAGACCATGAGCGCAAAGAAGTAGTTTCTATCTGCCAGTATTTCCACACGAGTGCTCGACACCTCTCAGAAAAGTAAATGTTATCTTTTTTTTTCGGTGATAAGATGAAGCATTCTTTGGAAACCTTAATTTAATGAAATCATCTCAAATAATCAGTAATGCTGAAAGACGCAAAATGTTATCAGTGATAATAAACAGTGACCTTTCCTAACCTGTTTCCCCTTCTTTTTATTTGTGAATTATTCGCTTACAAAACCCTCAGCAATGACTTAAAGGTTTTTTTTTCAATCATTGTTAGGTATCTGGACAAACTGGGACGACATAACTACGTGACTCCTACATCGTATCTTGAGCTCATCTCTTCATTGAAAACACTGTTAGGGAAGAAGCAAGATGAGGTATCTATTGTTCTTTAATAAGACCTTTTAGTAAGGGGATAAAACAAGTCGTTAATAACCTCTTGTTAGCGGGTACGAGAATTAAAGCCATTTAGTCTGCATTTTATGGAGCTGTAGCTCACTTTGTGTTGCAGGTGATGCGTAATAAGCACCGTTATGAAGTTGGACTGGAGAAATTAGCTTTCGCTGCATCTCAGGTTAGTGGCATGTGATGATTTAGCTCGCGTTTGACATGTTAGCTAACTTATTTGGTATCTGCAGGTGGCTGACATGCAGAAGGAACTAGAGGAGCTACAGCCTCAGCTAGTAGAGACAGCCAAAGAAAATACCAAAATGATGAAGGTGTGTAAAGCAATTGCCAATTGTCAAATGTAATGGGAACAACCCTTAAATGTAACTGTGTACTAAATTGTTTGAACAGGTAATCGAGAAAGAGTCTGCTGAAGTGGAAGCTCGCAGTGAATTGGTACGGAAGGATGAAGCGGTAGCCAACCAGAAGGCTTCTGAGTCACAGGCATTAAAGGAAGAGTGTGAGAGTGACCTCGCTGAAGCCATCCCTGCCTTGGAAGCAGCCCTTGCCGCTCTTAACACGCTTAAGGTATCCACTGATCTCGTTTAATAAGCTGTGGCAAAAAAATATGAACAACTGAAATTGCATTTCATTTTGACTTTCAGCCGGCCGACATCACTATAGTCAAGTCCATGGCAAACCCTCCTGCTGGGGTCAAGCTTGTCATGTCTGCTGTGTGTGTCATGCGGGATATCAAACCCGAGAAGATCAATGATCCCGCAGGGACGGGAAAGAAGATTCTTGACTTCTGGGGTCCTTCGAAGAAGCTGTTAGGAGATATGAATTTCCTTAATAGTTTGAAGGAATACGACAAAGACAATATTCCGGTAGGTTAGCCCTTAGAAGGCTTGAAGCCTTAATATAGTAATTTTACTATCAAATCATGTTGTATGTTTTTTTCTTCGTGTTGCAGTTCATATTCAAAACAGCAAATTTCACGAACTGGATATCCGTTCAATTGATTACTGTAGGTTGTGAAAAATAGTGGAATAGAAGAATGTCTATGCGTTGAGAAATATTTTTTCTATAACTTGATCTTCAGGTGCACATTATGGCCAAGATCAGAAAGGAGTACATTCCTAATCCAGACTTTGATCCTCAAAAAGTGCGGACAGCTTCTTCGGCTGCTGAGGGTCTGTGTAAGTGGGTACAAGCCATCGAGATATACGACAGAGTCGCTAAGGTGAGTCAATTCAAGTCTATAGAGAGGTACTACAGACCAACTCCATGATTTTGGTCAACATTTGACCTAATGCCTCCTACTCTTTATTGAATTACTTTTTAATGTTTGTTTAAGATTTCGTCAGTATTCTGATCATTCCAGAATAGGTTAAACAAAATGCAGACTAGGCTCTCTCATCCTGTCGGCGTAATGTGCGTGCGTGTTTGTTCCTGAAGGTTGTGGCGCCCAAGAAAGCTCGTCTAGCCGAAGCTGAACAATCCCTGGCGGAAACCATGGAAATCCTGAATGCTAAACGTCAAGAATTAGCTGAGGTTGAAGCCAAGTTGGCAAACTTAAAACTCACATTTGCTGAGATGACAGAGAAGAAGCAGCAACTCGAATTCCAGGTTTGACTTTTTTATCCTGTACTTCAACTAGTTTTCGTAAAGAAAGTTTTATTTTTTCCTTTTGCGGACAAGGTTTGGTTTTTGTTAGATTGTCAAAGGGTATTCTTAGATAACAGGTTGTTATTGTTTTCCTAATCCCGATAACTTAGCTTAACAAACTTACGCTAAAGTGGGGAGACGACATCAAGCCGCTGTTTTATGTCAGACGTAAAAGTGAAATCCTTGCGCTGATTGTCTCATATATTGTAACTTGCTCTTAGCCGTTTTGACACGTAAACTTTTGGGGGTGCAATTTCGCTTGAAGATATCTAGTTTATTAGTATCTGTTTTGAGCCGCAGAAGGAACCGTGCCGTTTGTAAACACTAATAGTAAAAATTTAGTGTTTGTTGGCAGTTTTAAAGCGATTCTACCAGCGGATGAATCCCTTGCTGGTTTGTTAGATGATTCAGAAATCAAAGAAGAGCTTTTTGTGCACTTGTGTGTATGCTCATGTACTTATCACTCCTTTTCAGGTGGATTTGTGTGGTAAAAAGTTGGAGCGAGCTGAAAAACTAATCGGTGGCCTGGGCGGAGAGAAAGACCGCTGGTCAGCAGCAGCGCGGTCCCTTCAGGATATATTCGAGAATTTGACCGGTGACGTTCTCATTTCGTCTGGAGTAATCGCATACTTGGGAGCGTTCACTGCTGCCTTCAGAAAGGAGTGTACGCAGGAATGGACCAATATTTGCAAAGTACGTTGCATTGTTTAACTTTTCCGTTTGCGTTTGTAAGTTCGTATTTTTTACTGTTTGTTAACGATACCACAGTGTGGGGGACCAGGCCCGTAACCAGGGGGGTGCACGGGGTGGTTACTCCTCAGGGATATGTTGCAGCCGATAAGAGTAACATGTACAGCCCTGTCCTGCTTTGAAACAAACATTTTTCCAACGTGTATTTTTACGAGGTCGTACCCACGCTAACAAAGCAGTCACCGATCGGCAAACAAAATTTGTAAACAAACATCTTATTACAGTTCTCTCAGTTCGCCTTATATAAATCCAGAAATACCTACAAATAACACCTGACCGGTGACAAAAACGTACAACGTATGAGTATGAAGATTATGCCGTTAATTGAGCATAAATTTCAAATGCTTATCAGCAAATGAACGTATTTATTCGCGTTGCATCGGGTCAGTGTTCCGCAAAACAAATGTTATCGAGTAGCACACATAAAGAAACTAGATTATAAACAGAATACTCAGGCAATAATTCATTTTAAAAACATCAATTCTTAAACATATACGATCGTAAAGCAAAGATACAAGGAACATTTCAAGTGTACCAGATCGGTGAAGATCGCGCGGCCTGTTGCGGTATAACTACAGGTCGGAGTCAAAAATCAAATCACACTACTCCTAGAACCATACCAGATCGATAGGCTAAGCTTCTCTATCTCCAAAGACTCTTGAGAACGTCCTGTTGCCGGACGGCCACGATGCTCTTCTGAACCTCCATGATCAAAACATTATTTTTTGCTTCTTCTTAAAACGTAACTAGTCAAACGACACAACCACACGTTAATCACCACTACCGAAGTATAACTAGACCAACCAAAGCGACGGATGTCCGAATAACACGAAGGATTTTCAATGATTGTACCGGTAATGGCGATTTCGAATTTAGTGTTGACCCGACAAATTTATTCCGAAGAGACAAAC